CATCGCGCCCATCAATCTCCCGATATCACATCAGCAGCGGGGATATTACCCGTGACGAGAGGGAGAGAGGGTCGCCCATCCACTCGCGACGCTCTGACGGGCTAACGAACCCTGGGCGGCGTGTGTTTGACTTGGCCGTAATCCCGTTATACGTATCGGCCTTCCTGCCCCCCCGGGGGGAAAGGATGATGAGGAGGAATAGGAAATAGGAGCAGGAGCAGGAGGAGGAGGAGGCGGCGGCGGCGGCGGGGCGCGCGGCCGAGCTGCACCAGCATCTCCTCGGCAAGAGAGGCGCGGCATTAGAAAATTTTACGATAAGGCGCTTTTTCCCGGCGAGCGGCGGCAGCAGCGGTGGCAGCGCGGACGGCCTATCAGCTCGCTATCGCGCTGCTGCAAGACTCGCATACGAATGCGGCCATTACGCGTGGCACGGCGTGGCGTGGCGAGGATGAAGGCGAGAGTAACGAGTCGGAGATACACGAGGAGGAGGAGGAGGAGAGGCTCTGCGGTGCTGGGTGCTCGCTGCTGTTGCGGCGGCACGCGGAGGAGCAGGGAGGCGGCTGAGGAAAAAGGGTTTCCGCGCCGCCAATTTATTGCGCCCGCATCGCACCAATTAAGTCATTCCTCCGACGTGCTAATCACGGGGTGGGGGGGCGAGGGCGACGATAAGCCACTTTATTGTTATTGCTTGTCGGGCCGCGCCGATAGGCTGCCGGACCGCCGCCGGGGCCAAGCCGCCGGGCCGCCGCCGCCGCCCCGACATTTGTGTACAGCAATCGTCGCGAGTCACGCGCCGCCTAGCGCCATGCAAATGTTGCAAAACGTAATGACATGGCGCCGGCCGGAGCGGCGCCGGCGGGCGTGGCGGGGGCTGGGCGGGGGCGTGGCAGAGCGCCCGGCGGCGCCAGGGTAGGCCGCCACGAGGCGCCGCGGTGCGCTGGGTTGCCTACCCCGCGGCCCGCAGGCGCGCGGTGATCGCGTCGCCTTGCTGCCGCCGCTGCCGCCGGGGTGGGGCAAGAGGGGGAGCGGGCCGCGGCCAGAGGGGAATGTTAAGTAGGCTGCCCCCCCCCCTTCCCCTCTCACGAGGAACTCGTCTCTGCGGGCGCCCTCCGAGGCCTTGGCGGCGCCGGAGGACAACGGCGGTGCGAGTGCGAGGTTAAAGGCGGTGGAGGCCAACGGCAGCGGAGACCAAAGGCGGTGGAAGCCAACGGCGTTGGAGGGCAAAGGCGGTGGAGGCCAATGACGGAAGGAGACAATTGACAACGACGGCATAGGACAAGGGCGGTGGAGAACAAGGGCGGTAGAGGTGGAGGATAATGTCGATCAGGACAAGGGAGGGTGGCGGATAAGGACGGGAAGAGGCCAACGAAGGTCGGGGGAGACGCTGATGGCGAGCGGGCTGCTCGTGCCCTCCCGACCCATTCGGAGGAAGACATCAGCAGCAGCGGACTCCTCTCATCCCGTGTTGGAGGTTGCGTGGTCACCGCCGATGTCGCAGCGGCCGCAGCAGCAGGGGCTGCGGTGGGAGCGCCCCTACCCGGCCGCGCGGTCACCAAGGCCACCCTGCTGGAGGCCACTAAAGCGAAAGTGCAGGAAACGCCGCCGGCGGGAAGGCGAAGGGAAGATGAAGAAGTCGGGCGGGATGGGGCGGGGTAAGGTGGAACGGGGCGTTGGGTGGGGCGGGGCTATGTGGGGCGGGTTGGGGTTGGGTGGGGCGGGGCTGGGCGGGGCGGCGGTTGAGAGAGGCAGGGCACGCCCGAGCCTTCCGCCCTAGGCCCCGTGATGAGGCCTCCCCGCCGGCCCCCAGCAGTCTATGAAGGGGAAGGGGCCGCCAACCGGACCGGTCACGCACAGCGCCGCTGCTGTACACAATGTTCTAATTACAGGTTAACGGTTGTCCGCATGATTTACAGCCGCCATAAATCGCGCCGGCGGCAGTCCGAAACATACAGACGGAGGGGCAGAAAGACAGACAGACATGCAGGCAGACGACCAGCACTGCTGTTCGGCCCGCCACGGCATACATGATTCACACGACACGCCTCGTTTTCACACGTGCGCTCTGCCCCCGCCCCCGGCCCTGACCCACCCTGACCCGCCGCGCGCCGCCCTCGCTGCAGGCGGATTGGACGGTTTGCTTTTATTATATCATCCCAACTCTGCTCCTTCCGCCCTCCCCGTCCCCTCCGTCACCGCGACGGATAAGGACGGTAGAGAGGCGAGAGGGGGAGCCTTCATCAGAAGGTGACTCGACGAGGCAAGCGGCCAGCCAGCAGCGGTTGTTCCGAGATGATCAAAATACAGAGGTTATGGCATGGCGTCCTCTGATCCGCATTCAAGGTGGACGTCAAAACGTCGTCAGCTCGGCGTTCAGAAGTGCGGTCAGGCTTACCCACATCACTACGGCGGTGGGCCACCCTGCTTGTGGTATACCTCCACGCGGGGGTAGAGAGGGGTGACGGGGTGTGAAGGTCGCCGACCCACCGGGCATGTCGGCACGCACTCACGCCGTGTGGTCGTCGTGGTCTTGCTGTGCGCAACAGCAGCACGGCCTGCGGGGCCTCCTGCGGGACCAGCGGGCAAACATGACACGGACGCGGAGGGGAGGGCGTCGGCCGGCATGAGTCCACCCCCGCCCCACCCCGCGCGTGTTTGGGCCAGCAGAAATTATTAACCGGCTGCTGACATTGGCCCGCGCAGGCCGGGGCCACGCAGTCAAGTCGTCGCCTCCACTTTCTAATCCTCCGCCTCTCGTCTGCCCTCCTCCTCTCGGAGCACGCCAATATGGGGTGCACGACAGCACACCTCGCACTCCAGCCGTATCTGGTTATACACTTCAGACACACTCGGAGTTCCACACCGGAGGGAGCGGGGCGGTCCAAATCAAAGGCACGGCACACAAGTTTGTTGCCCCCTTTGTTGTGTACGGCTGTGTACTGGACCCGCCGCCCCACCCCGCCCCGCCGCGACAGCCTGCGCATGAGAAGTTGGGGCGCACGGAGCGCACGGCGCGCGTCAGTCGACCCCTCCGCCGCTCAGCTCGGCCAGCCCAGCCACTGTTGCTGCAGGTGCTGCTGCTGCTGATGCTACAACTCCTGCCACTGCTGCTGCTGCCGCTGCAGCCTTCAACAAACTCCTCACGGCGCCGTGGGCGAGCCGCCAAGTTTGCCTTGTACTGTCGATACCCTGCTCCCTGCACGGTAATCAAGTCAGGGGAGTAGCCACCCTCCCTGCCCCGCCCCGCTACGCCAGGTGAGAGGGGGGAGGAGAGGGGATTCGGATACGACTTGCATGCGAGGAAAGAGGCCAGTCAGGATAACATGTGCAGGGCCCGGCACACCGCGGGACGGCGAGGACGAAAGGTCGCCACCCCATCTGATTCCAGCCTTTCGCTCTCCCTCCCCCGCCCTGGCTCCACCCCTCGCACAGCAGCAGCAGAGGCGTGGACGGCTCAGCTTTACCCCCAGCAGCGCGCGGCGCGCGGATTTGAACTGGTGCGCGAGCATAAGCTCATCGAAACTTTGGGAGGAATACTTTGTCCTCCTTCGTCTCCTTCCTCTGCCTCAGCCTCCACCTCGCGCCGCTACCCGCCACGCCCCGCCACGCCCCGCCACGCCCCGCCACGCCCCGCCACGCCCCGCCACGCCACCACTCCAGCGTCCTCCGCTCCCACCCTGGCCCGGGGGATTTAAAATTCCGGAAAGGGTTACACGCCGAGGAGAGAAGGCGCCTTTTTATGAGGTGGAGGACTCATTAGGGGAGGCCGGGGGAGGTGAATGGGGCTCATAACGGGGCAATTAACATTTTATTCCCTCGCAGTTTGTTATTATTATCGACTCATGGCGTGGAAATTGATTCAACGCCAGTGACTTGGAAGCGGCGCGCGCGCGAAGGGAAAGGCCCCCTGCTGCTGCTGGGCGTCGTCGCACCCTTCGCTCCCCTTCTGCTTTCCCATCCGCTCCCCCGGGGCGCGAGTGTGTGAGTGTGTGAATGTGTGTGTGTTTGCTGTATAGCGTGTCAATAGTATTTTGCCTACTGGTGGTCGTATTTGGCTGGGGCGGGTGCGAAGGGTGGAGCTTTTCTTCCTACAGCCGCATGCGCCTTTCACCCCCCCCCCTCTCGCTCGCCCCTACGCGAGCCTCCCGCCCCCTGCCCCGCCCTGCGCCACATGCGGTGGTTGATGACTTTCTTGCCGAGTCATTCCCTCGATAGGCGTCAGGGGGTGCGAAGTGGTCGCACGAGTGCGCCAGCAGGCGGGCCACCACGCCACAAGGAACAGAAAAATAATGGAAAAAAAGCACAACACGTATATATTGCTTGCGACGATGAAAAATTTCGGGGTCGGCGAAATGCAGCGTCGGGGTTGTGGCCCCTCGACGCCCCGACCCCGACATACCCCCGCGGGAGTCCGCCCTTTCCCCCCTTCCCTCATGGCTCAGCGAGTGAGCGGCTTGGAGGAACCCGTGACAAATCGCGAGCTTCATGGACGCAGGCCAGAGGCCACGGGCCGCCTCGGGCGGGGGTCTCTTACCACCACTCCATTCGGCGTTTACTGTGGCATTGCCTTGGCGGTGCGCTCGCGTTTCGGGTATGGTTTGAAAACGGTAAAGAAGACACCGCGAAGAAGGAAATCATGTGACTGTAAGATTTTCATGCATAAACGTGCACAGTCATATATCACTAGAGTTCAAAAATGCAACCCGCCCAACAAGAGAGTCGCCATCCTGAGCGTCTTTAAAGAAAATTACCACTTGAACGGCCGCCATGACGGTGTCACGGTTATCCTGGTGTTTCCAAAGCTTTGCTTATATTGTTTTCAAAGTTGTTTTGTGGTCCATTCCAACCGAATATGTCAGAAGCATGGCAGGACGACATCCCGGCAATAGCGTTTTGGTCCGTGGGAGCCGTCGGCAGCTGGCGGATTGTTCCTGTCCATTCATTACTTCCGGCTATCAGCGCTGTACCGCGCGGACTTGCGACTGGACTGGACTGCCACTCACCATGTCGCTACAAATCCGCGGCGCGCCCGCTGCTTCCGTCTAATCCAGGAGGGTCCGGGGGGCCGGGCAGGGCCGGCCACGCCCTGGGACAGACGGGGGGCCGCACACAGAGAGATGCACTCGGTCACGGCAACGACACGGTCCACTCGCGCGCGGCGCACGGCGCGGCGAAGTCGACGCCGCCGAGCTTGTGTCTCTGGACCGGCGCGCACGGGGCGAGGCGAGGGCGGCACTCCTCTGACGACACGCTGCGCTGGCCGGCGTGGAGCTCACTGGCGCGCGGGGCCTGGGCGGCGGCCCTGGGCCTCCCCGGGGCGGACTCCACCGCGAGCCGCCCTCCTCCCGCCGGCCGCCCACAGAGGGCGCCGCCACCCCTGCCGCCGGGGGGTAGCGCCGCCGCCATGCGCGCACACTACACCCTATGTTGTGCATCATCAGACTTGCAGAGTTTCAAGCAGCCATGAGGAATGCACAGTTTCATGCATGACTGTATACAATTTGTATGACGAATTATGCATAAAAAATCGCGCATACTTATGCCCGTACAAAGTCCTGCATCTGCATGCACAGCAAAATGCACAAGGATGTGTAGTGTGCAGGCAACAGACCTTATCCATTCTCAGCCTTTGGAGAAAAGTCGAAGTTCAGTAAAGTAAGGACGTTTGGCTGGGTTGAGTTATGATCGGGAACCTGTTCCATAATTTTCAAATCAGATCTGCGTGAGGTTCTATTACTGGTTCCGGTGCTGATTTCCCCCTCTCCTTCTCCTCCGTGTACCGAGAGAGGATGGAATGGGGTCTAGGACGGTGCCGCTCTGGCAAAACGGAGGGGGGGAGGGGGAGGGGAGCTTTGGTCAAGAGGGCGAGCGCAGAGGTAATGGACGAGTGATTACTCCCCCTCGTAGTGTCCAGGCTGGTTATTGAAGGCGCTTCGGGGAGCTCTCCGATCGCACTCCAGACGCACTACCCGGAAGCCGCCGGAAGCGCCCTCCTTAATAATAAAAACCAACCAGACCAGAACAGGGGGGTACAAGAACTTATCCGGGAGCTCTCTAGCATCCCTTTGGAGGATATGGGCAAACTGTGAATCCTCCAAGAATGTAACAAGGCTTCTCGTCCCAGCGTTCCACAGTTCAAACGGCCTTATTGCTTCTTGAAATGTTAAAACTAACTGTGATAAGTTGCAAGGGTAGTGTGAGCTTACCCCTCCATTTGGTCAAGCAGGTAGTGGGGGCAACGACTCGACCAATAGGAACGTCGGAATAAGTCATGTTCTGCCCCTTACATTGTAAACTAAAGTACTATTTGAATGTTTTTCTGTCAACGTTAAATTATGGACACTGACATCAGGCATAAAATAGATTTTTTGTAAGTAAATGTGACTGTTTAAGGCCAGATTAGATTTAACAGTGCAACAGTGATTTCTTTGAGTTTCGTACTGCGGAGCTTATATTTATTTAAAACATTTAGATTGGACCAGAGAGTAAGAGTTGATGTTCACATGTTTCAAAACAGTTTCCCTCCAGTATGAACAAAGTCAGGTTCATAAAGCGCCGCGCCACAGCTCGCGGCAGCCAGGCGCCAGGGTAGCGCCGGCAGCAATACCCCTCGCGCGCGGGGCCCCCGCGGGGGAAGGGGTAATGGCGACCCGACCCGCACCTGGTGCGGCTGAGTGGCGAGAGGCGGGCGCGCTGCGAAATGAGAGCCAAGCGGCGCGTGATATTAGTTTCGCGGCAAAGGTAAACACGACCGAAACTTGAACTAAACTTAATACCAAACCTTTCCGAGCTCACACGGCTCCGCAGCGTGCGCGCGTCTCTGTTGCCCCCGCCGGCCTTTATCCCTTTTGGCTCTCGTGTGTGTGGGATGATGATACGCGAGATTCGGATATGAGGAGAAACTTGTCCGTTTTGCGATGACATCAGCCGAAAACGAGCCGAATGAATGGGTCCCTCCTCCTCCAGCCACGACGGTACGACGGCACGACGGCACGACGGCACGACGGCGGCGTGCTTCCGGCCGTCGCGAGAACAGCGGACAAGGCCCCCGCACCAGGCGCGGCCAGCGACACGGCCACAATGGTGGCGCCGGTGAAGCAAGACGCCGGTGGCGCGGCGGGGTGCGGCCGGGCACGGCGGGGCCAGTCCTCGAGCAGACCAGTTCCTGATTGGTCTCCCCGAGAGATCTAATCGACACCTCAAGAGCTTGTCAAGAGCCTCCTCGACACACGTCGAATTGCCTCTGGGCAACCCGGCGGGCCGTACCATGTATAGACACGAAAGTGCACGCCGCGCACCGGGCCCCTCGCCGCCGTGGCAACCCCGCCCCCGCCCCTCCCCTCCTGCTCGCCGATTGTGTTCAGTGGTTCGACGGTCGGCCGCCGGGATGCCCGGGCTGGCGTGGCTGCTGGTGGCCGCCGTCGTGTGCACCTGCTGCAGCGTACGCGCGTCCGACTCGGACATGACCTGGGACGAGTACAAGGTACACAACACGGCGGCGTGCTCCGCGATGCTGTCCCACGCGTGTTCACACCGGCGCCGCGCGCCGCCGCCCGCCTGTTTCAGATCAAGTACAAGAAGAACTACACCAGTCCGGAGGAGGACGAGCGCCACCGCCAGAACTTCCTCACCTCGCAAAAGAACGTGGTGCTGCACAACAAGAAGCGCGAGCGCGGAGAGGTGTCGTACTCGATTTCCATCAACCAGTTCTCCGACAAGGTGAACCGATTCGCGAGTCCCAGAAGAAGTGGGCCAACAGCCGACGGCGGCGCCCATTCCACCACGATGACGGTGTGTTCGTGCTCCCCCAGGACCGGCACTGGCCCGGCCACCTGTCGACGACGACGGACCGCTCGGTGTGGCCGGCGACCGTCGACGAGCAGCAGGAGCAGCAGCAGACAGCCGCCGACGCCGGTGCGTAGGCGGGCGCCGGCCGTGGTCTACCCTGTGTCGTTTATAGTGGCGTTGTTGGCCTTGTTCTGCTACCCCCGTCCGCAGGCCCTGAGTGAGGCGAGGTCCACTGGCCGGTCGCGCGCCCCGCCCGCGAGGGGCACCGGCCAAGCTGCGACCCACCAAGGTATAGTACGCGAGGGCGAGGTCGGGCCGGGCGAGGTCCTCCGCCCCGGCTGCATTTCCAGGCTGCTTCTGTTTGCGCTCAAACTTTACGTCCTCGGAAAGGTTACGGCCGGACGAGTCGTGGATCCTCTCCCGCTTCGAGCAGTGCCCCGCCGCCGCCACCGCCACGGCTGGCGCGCGGCCCCGGCGAGTCGATCCATCCTGAACGCGGGCGGCGGAGCACATGGGGCGCCTTCATAAAACACCCCGGAGGCGAAAGTCACCCCTTTCGTTTAAAATAAGACCGGTCGCCCCCGCCCTGCACTCTTGTACGGAGCCATAAACGTCCTGGTTAAGCTCGGCGCGTTGTCGTCACTCCTCCCCGGGCGAGGCAGCTGACGTCCAGGTGGTGTGTTGTCTATCCCCGCCGTGTTGAAGTGGGCCAAGTGGGGGCTGCCGAGAGACGGCCGACGGCCGGGTCCCCCCTTGCGACCAGCGGGGCGAGAGGGACTTTAGGCAATCGACGTCACAGCAGATCATTTGTCACTCGGGGACCGGAGAGGCAGCCAAGACGGCACGCCCTGCCACGCCGCCGCGCCCAGAGCGCCCCCCGCCCTGCCCGAGGTCATTGAGTACAAGTGGCCGATGGGGAGCAGGAGCAGGGCCGTGGCGGGGCGGGGCGGCTGTGGGTCGGACGGACCGGCGGGGAGGGGGGCGGAGGCCTGGAAGGGCTGGTGGAGGAGGCCGCCCTCATCAAAGGAGGGACCGAGTACCCTCTGCCGCGCCGACTCTTCCGGTCCAGCAACACTTACAACCAGGAGCCGTCCAAACGCGCCAAACGCCACTCGGACCGCCAACAATGAAACCACCGCCACAACGCGGCCGACAAAGTTGTGTTATTGCGGACCGACGGGACCGACCGCACCGGTGGGCTGGCGGTCATGGCGGGGCCCTCCTTGGCGGCGGCCGCGCTCCTCCTCGTCTTGCAGGTACAACTGCGCGCGCGAAGACACGTTTGCCATTCTTGCAAAACACGTCTTTTTATTTCAAAGATGAGGAACCGAGCGAGGTTAGATTTCATGGGGTATCTATAGGCAAGGTGTGGCATTAGACTCGTAACAACGTACAACCGGTGGGAGAAGTTTTCATACGGATTTGATAGTGGTAAGTTTGTAGGCAGAGGTTTTTAACTGAACTTTTCTAAATGGTTATGATACACAAAATAAACTACTGGAGCTTTCACTGGGTACGGGGGACCTCCACCTTTAATTTTTGGGTTAAAATAATTGAAACACTGCATTAACTATTCGCACGTGACACTTATCTTGAAAAACCATACCATTAGGCTTTTAGCTAAATTCTTTATGATTAAAAGACAAATGTTTCTTTATCGTTCAATAATATGATTAGTATCATTGTCTGTCCCTTGTAAAATAATTATGATACGAGAAAACTCACTTTCTCCATTACAAACCCGTAACACTGACAAGTACAACAATTCGTCAATTTACTCTTTGCCTTCAGTCAAAGAATTAGGTTTAAACGGAATGATCACTACACTTGGATCTATGACCTGCATTCTATGAAAATAGTTTCAAATATACTTATCATTTAGGTTATGTCACCAACCAAAATACATTTTCGGAGAGGTTAAAAATTCAACAAAGACCACCACTTAAAGAATCCATGAGGTATATGTTCTTAATTCTAGAAAGTTTTTACGATTGAACTTGCCCCACCCCTCGTCCCCCCGCCTCCCTCCAGGTCTCTAACCTCTTACATATGATAATCCCTCCAGAGATCACGACACACACTGCGGCTTCTGCCACCATACGACCAAAAAGAACACATTCATTTATCTGCGCATTCTTTCCGAAGCCATAAGCATACTCACTGCGTGCTGCGATGCATGTTGTGTGCAGGTACTCCTCGTCTTCTCCTCGAAGACGCGACGACGACGACGCAAACATATCTGCTATCACCTTTGATTCTACACTTCGAAAAAATGCGAATGTTCGGAGGGCGAGTTAGATAACTCTATGACCACAGAAAACGCGAAAATTCTACCCAACCGACCGTTTGATATTTCGTTCAAAAGCTACGCGTCGCGCTACTCGCTGTTTCGACTTCGACGGCTGGCTGGCTGCGGCCACGGCCACCGACAGCGCCGCGGCGGGGAGCTGCGAACTGCTGCCAACTGTTGAACTTTTAGTTGAAATTACGAAATATATTCCAAACTCTATCAAGCTCAATTCTATTTCGTGATTCTGGAAGCTCGTAATTTTACACATTCCAAAAACATACCAATAATTTCTAGCTTTCTAGCTACGGCGTAAGAAGAAAAGTTGATTCTTAGACACGGACAGACAGACTTACGATCAAGACCTCCCTGGATCCCTTGCTCGATGGGACTTCCCTACGCTTAGAAAGAAATGGAACGGCAGAGAACGATAGTTCAACCCTTTCCACCCGAAGCGAGTTAGTCTGCATCCGGCATGAGAAGCAGGTGTTTGTTTTCTTAGCATTTTAAAACTCCTCAAAAATACTTGGGGATGACATGCGCCTCTCACAAAGATTTTCGCACTGGTACTTCTTTCTTCGAACTCCAGGATTGAAGGAACTTGTCTTTTGCTTACACAACCGTTTTGCAACTGCCGTGCTGCCTCATCTTCGCCCTTTCAATAAAAAAATCTCAATCAAGAATCGATCTCGAAAGCATGATGGAGAAAATATAAATTCTAAGAGTAGTAATCTAATCCTCTCTCGTATTTTCAAATTTCTAGCGGCGGAGAGGATCGGAGAGGGGGGGGGAGGCACGGAAAATTATTTGTTTAATGCAGGGGCTGATGGGAGATGGGACGGAGTGTAGAAGTGGGGAGGCACGGGTGGTGGCTGAGGTGAAAGGCCTCTTCCTCTTCCCTTTTTCCCTGCATCGAGAGTTAAAGCTGGCACCTTGATGTATATTTGTGTTAGGTGTAAAGGTATCATCTGCTAAAAAAAAAAAACAACTACGGATTTTCTTCCAAAATCACACATAAAAAAATGTGAGCAGTTGTACGTTTTTGCAAAGTCTTCTGCCACTGCGGCGGCGGACCTGGCGCCTGGCCTGGCGCCGGATAAAAAATTTAGGTAATGGTTGCGGGTGGCGGCAAGGGGAGGGCGAAAGGGGAGCGGGGAGGCGCGTCTGTTGCGGCAAGGCGCGTCTGCACCTCGTAAACGACCATAAAGCTGCAATTCTGCCGAGCGACGACTGCCCCTCGCTCGCCCCCGCCGCACGTACAGTACAGGGGGGTGGGGTAATCACAGCTCGCTGACAAATACATGCAAACGGCGAGTGCGTACACGGCAGCAGGCGCTCTGCGAAGAGCGGCCGCTTCGGGCGAAGAGTGTTTGTCAGTCCACCCGCGCTCGCCAGGGCGCGCGCTCGACGGACCCGACGGCCACCACCCCCGCCACGGACTACAACGAGCACCTCGAGATCGACTTCGAGGACAAGGACGACACCCCGCCGCCGTGGGAGCAGGACGCCCAAGTGGAGCAGGACCTGCCGGCGCCGGGGGGTGCGCCCGAGGACACGGACTGGGTCCCGGACGCCGTGCGGGACGTCGGCTACTACCTGCGGCAGCACAAGTTCAACGAGCACGACCGTCGGTAGGGGCCGGCCTCGCACCGCGACCGCGAGCTCCTGCCGAGTCGGTATGTATGTAACTTTCTTTCCGGCGCTGTTCGTCTCGTCGGGCGGTGAATGTTTCAGAGACAATCCAGCTAACAACGCGTCGGGCGCGGAGCGCGGCTTTGCCGGCGCCTTCCCCACGCTGCGCAACCTGCACTGGGAGGTCCGCGACGCCTGCGAGCAGAGCTTCCTGCAGTGCCTACGGTACCTGCAGGTCGGTCTGTGTGCCGCGCACCTGCGCCGACAAAAAGTTTCACTGACGACGACACGCGACATTTGCTTTTGCTCCGGTCGCGACGACGCTGTCAGCTGTCAGCCGTACGGCGCCGGAGCCTATCCAGGCGGGATAACACAGTTAATAGAAATCCTACAAACTCATTTCAATTTTAATTATTCCTGCGCCTCGCAGAGCAACGAGCTTACGGGCCCCCTTTCGGAATCCCTTCCTTCCTGCACCTTCAGCTCCCCGCCCGACCCGCGGCCCGCCCCCGCCTTACCCCTTCTCCGCGAGCGGGGTGCCGTGTCGCGCTGACGGTGGTCCTCCTTTTGTAATAACGCCTCCTGCCTCCCCTCCCCCTCCTACACTTTGTCCCCCTCTGCCCCCTCTCCCCATCCATCCACACCCGCCCACCTCTAAATGTCACATGCTGACACAGCCAAACGCCCTCTCCCTCCGCGCCCAAGTCAGAGTCTGACTCCCCCCGTTCTCACCCCGTCTCTCTCTCCTTTTCCTTTCCTCTGACTCTCTCCTTTCATCTGTCTGTCTCTCTCTCTCTCTCTCTCGTTGTCTCAAGGGACTCATTTCTTAGTCGGCCCGGCAGCGCCTCGCTATAGCTACACTGCCGCAGGGCCTCTAACCTGCGCTTTTCTGGTGATGCGCGATGTATCCGCTCCAGCTGTCAAAGACGCGGCGGCCGAAGCCGTGACGGGGCGGGGCGGGGGACGGGACGGGGTGCAGCGCGGCGGGGCGAGGCCATCATCAGGTCCGTCTGGGCAGAGCGTCCCGTCGGCCCAGCCCAGTCCATTTGTCTCGTTAGTATTCCGGCCGGCCCCGTTTGAATAAAACGTGATAAGAATGGAGCGGGCGGGGCGTTGTGGATGCGGCGGTTGGTGGGGCAGGGTAGGGAGCTCTGGGGTGGGGCGGGGTGCGGCGGGACATGCACGACGCTATTAGGCGGCGCCAGTCTAATGAAGCTACTGCTGCTGCTGCTGCTGGCAGGACAAGCTGTCTGTCGTTCGACTGCGGCGGGCGGACGACACCGCCAAGGCGATGTGGGACGCCCAGCTGTCCTGGCCGGTCGTCAACGGCACCGAGCCGAAAAAGGACTCCAGCGGGGAGGCCGTCTTTGGGTCGATGGAGGAAAAGGCGCGCTTCCAGAACCGCGAGCAGGTGCTGGCTCTGGATAAGGCGTGCTCCGACCTCAAGGCGGACGACGAGGCCGACTACGACGGCTTCCTCGGACCACTGGACCGCTTCCAGTGGCGGACCACGGCGGCGTACTACATGTGCACCTTCACGATGAAGGTACACTCAACATTGACCCAAGCCAATTTGATATCATAACTCGTATAACGCTCAAAACCAGTGACGCAGCAACAATTGCGGTCTAACATTTTGGTTATATTGTGTTGACGTTTTCTTTTCTTGTTGCCCAGGCTGAAATCGCGCTCCGGCACTTCGGCGAGCCTTGCGACAACTGGGCGTGGTGCCTGGATTGGGAGGTCGGCCCCTCCAACGGCGACCCCCGAGCAAGAGACGAGGAGCCCTTCCAGTGCGCGAGGTACAGCTTCTGCCCGGACCCGTGCTGCCCGCGACGGAGCGTCCGCACCCTGGAGGACTGCGTCGAGGACAACCCCTGCCGCTACGCGACCGCGACCCTCGGTGAGCATACATCTTTAAGATAACTGAAACCCCAGAGAGCCCACGCAAACGACGGTCAGAGACCTTGTTGTTTCTCATTTTTGTTGTCTTTCTTTGGGGCCGGGCTAGAGACTATGGTCGACCGGCCTCAGTCCATCTACGTGCAAAGCGGTGCAGATAACTAGCGAATGGCGATGAGATAATTCAACCTCCTGGTGCGCGCCACAGTGTCACTTGTGATTGCAGCAGGATTCTGTTTATTGTGTTCGAATGCCAAGTCACGTGTTTCTTTGGGAGATGAAACGCGACTGCAGAACAGTCGTCGGGTCGTCTCGGTCCTCACCGGGCTCGGCCTCTGTTCCACGACACAGACCTGCTCTACTTCTTGCTTGCTGCTGCTGCCGCCGCTGCTCCGCCCTCCCCGATTCCCTTTCGCTTCCGTTCACCTTGACAGTACTTTGCCTTGCTGAAAGCCAAGCCGGAGGAGGAGCGGGGCGGGGCGGGGTGCGGGGGGGCGAGTTGTGGCGTCCCCGCGTCCCCGTCCCACGACACACTTTGCCGTTGCAGGGGAGCTGGAAGCCCCGGCGCGGCCGCGCTGCTCGCTGCCTGCGGGGCTCAACACCAGCCTCAGAGGGATGATGAGGGGCCGCTGGAACACGTCGTGCCGCTGCGCGGCGCGGGGCCACCACTGGGACGCGCGGTAAAGGAGCGCGCGCTCCTGCGGCTTCGTGTTCGTGTCTGTTGGCTAAGCCTGCTTGCCGTCGTACATCTGCGTATGAACTCCCGACACACGTGCCTCTCCCGTGTGTGTACGGCTCCGACACACGCGCGTGTGTCTTTTGCACGTACCACCGCCGACACAAGTGTCTCGCCACGTGATCTGAGGCCCGTTGGCAGACGGTCGTTAGCAAGACGACAGCTCCGACCCTGACAGCCGAAGCTCCCCAAGCGCGACGCGTCAAAGCGCGGGCTGCCGTCCCGTGCGGCGCCCCCCGGTGCCTCCTGACGCAGCCCCCCACGAGCGGGTTGTCAGTGTGTGCACAACCCCTCTGCCCGCCTTGCGGAGCCTCTCGACGATGGCGTACGTCATCGCGGTGGAGATGCCATCCGCGGGGAGCCGCCACGTGTGGGTCGGATCCATCGCCAAATAAGGCACTCCCTGAAACCAGCCGGCGCGTCCCCACAGGGCGCAGCGACGAGTAGACGAGTAGACGTTCGTGCCGCCCCTGTGTACATTTGCTTTAGTTTGAAAGAGCCGCCGAATGTGGCAGCCGGTGGGGCCGCTCCTCTATCCCTGTGCTAGCACACGTGCTCGGGCTGAGCACCGGGGGCTCACCGGGCCGGCGCGCTCTGTTCCGGGCGTTCCGGGCTGCCCCGACGGCGGGGCGGGGAGGGGCGGGGCGGGGACGACAGGAGCAAGTCGTGCAAACGCGGGGTGATAACGGCATCGAGTGTCTGCCAGTGGTGCTCGGCAGGGACTGCAGGTCGCACCCCGCGACCCCCGGCACTTGCACGTCCATGCAGGAGAGAGACACACACTTCCACCTCGGGCTCCACCTGCTACCTCTACCTCCACCTGCTACCTCCACCTCCACCTCGGAACTTGACCTGCTACCTCACGACCCTCCAGGCCAGCACGCTGCGGCGCGTCTGCACCGGGGCTATCGTGTACGTCAACTCGCAGTGACGACACTTTAACCCATATCAACGTGTGTGTATGTGTGTGTGTGGGGGGGGGGGGCATGTTTGTGTGAAACAGACGGCAGTGGCGGGGACGTGACGAAAATTGCGTAACGAGAAATAAAACTGCTTTACCGCTCGTCCCTGTCCGCAGATTATTGCCTAGCCATTTCTCATTCGCATCACGCCGACAAAAGGGTGGCGGCGGCGGTGGGTAGGGGTGGAAAGGAGGGGGCAAAGGGTGCGTCTATACGGACTGGTGGGGCAGGGGGGTGACCCTTGGGCCCCCTCGCCACGCCTCACCACGCCCCCCTCGGACTTCGCCTACCCGCCCCGCCCCGCCACACCACTGCGCCACGGCAGGCCCCCTCACGCCCCTGTGCATTATGCAGCCAGCGTCGGCCTACTTAGAACAATAAACTGAAGTGTTGTTGCCCGCCCCGCCCGAGTATGCACACGCAGCGCTCTCTTCCTTTATTTATACGGAATGCGCAGTCCCGCGCCTCCACGCGGCGCTGCTGTTGCTGCATCATTTACACACTCTTATTATGATTATTCTTGTTTGCTGTGCCTTGTGCGTGTATGCTGATTTCTTTTTTGCGCTTTGAACCCGATCATGCTAATGGTCGATTTGGCCTCGTGAAGCGGGAGACCCTAAAGTCATTGACCGTCATTTGAGATAATCTGTTCTAATCTACTTCGCGCGGACTGTAAGCTGGACCCAAGTTCATCATATCAGCCAATCAGAAATGTCGGTCTGGCTTGGGGCTTCACGAGGCTAAACCGACCATGACTACCCCACTCACCCTCTTTCCTAACAGGTTCGGCCTGTGTGTGGACACGGACGAGTGCGAGACGGCCAACCCCTGCAACGATAGGCATCATGAGGTACATCTGTCACAGTGCGAACCGATTCATACACTTGCGCGGTTTGTGGACATGGCTTGTTTGACTCGGGTTTATTCCCCCCAGGAGTGCGTGAACACGGCCGGGAGCTACGTGTGCCGCTGCCGCTGGGGCTGGCGGTGGGGCCGGGCCGGCAGGTGCGTCGCCGACCCGACGGCGCGGGCCGCGGCCTCGGCCCTCCGCGGTGGCGAGGAGGTGCCCGGCGACGGTCCTCCCCGCGGGGCCTGGGAGGTGCTCCAGGACATCCTCGTCCCGGCTGCAGCATCCTGATAACAACGGGATGCACGCCAGCCGACGACGGAGGCAGTGAGTAGGCACCTGGTGCTCGGAGCCGGCGTTACGTTACAGTGCAGTCTAAGTGGTGCCCGACGACGATATCATGTCAGAAGCAGTGGAGCCACCCGGAAGCACGCCGAGGATGCCGTGATGGACATCAGCCGCTGACGAGGACGGGGAGCTGCCCTGCCGCCGCCCATCAACACACCAGCTCCGCTCCAAGACTCCCCATCCTCCATGCCTGACTAATTTATGGCCCGCTCGTGCAATCGATGGGCGTGGAGCTTTCGGCTCCAGCGGCCGCGCGGCCAGGGCGGCCAGCCGCCGGGGGGCGGCGTCCGAACGGGCGGGCGGGCGTGACGGCACCGGCTGGGAGCTGCGTGGCCCACCCCGCACGCAGCCCGGCGGTGTTTTGTTAGAGCCGAGTTGGCGGACGTGACAAGAAGCGTCGAGCAATCGGTTGACGTGGCGTTGCGCTGCGACGCGTGGCCCACCCGGGTGGGGAGCGGGTTACAAAACTTGGGACAGAGATTTACGCTGCGTCAATTCCGGCCTGCTAATGAGTCGAGTCATTCTCACGGAGCTCCGCTGCGATATAGTAGGTCACGGAGAGAGAGAGAAATGATAGACAAAAGAGGACGAAATAAACAATGTGTTCGAACTGCGACACTTTTGCGACGACGGGAACGTCGCGCAACACATTTTATTGCATTTCCCTTTTGACCGACATAATAAGCTGAGAAGTTGACGTCGGTCGGACGCATCCGGGGCCCGGAAGCAGGCGAAAAGAGCCGGGGGCGGGGTGAGTGCGGGGCACTAAACCTGTCGACCTAAAGAAATTGATCGTCGTTTTTAGTGGGCTTTGCGCGGCCAAAGCCAGTCGGAAGCCACGACGTCGAAGCAGCAGCGGCAGCAGCAGCCCTGCCCGGCCCTGGCCGTCGAAGCCACGTCCGCGCCAGGCTCCGGGGCCAGCGGGGGCCCCAGCACGCTCAGCCGCCCCCGCCCCACCTTATAGTCTGGATTGATGGCCAATATAAAGGCGGTACAAAGGCTCCGCGCGACGTGCCCCGCACCGCTATTTCACTAACCTTGCACGCTCGCGCGCGCCCCTCGACGTCTTTATTTGCAGGTGCGCAGCTGCGCGTGGCCGCGGGCAGCTGCAGCTGAACGCTTGCGTCTTCTTCATCTGCGGCTGATGATGCTCCTAAGGTCCTGTGATTCGTGTCCCACTCTGATTATTTCATTAACCTTTTGAATAACGCATCTCGGCGACTTTAATTCAACGGGCGCGCAGCTGCCGCATCTCCAGCTGCCAGCAGCTGCAGCCGATGGACCTCAGCTGCTGCAGCTGTCGACGTCCAAGGCCCCCTGGTTAATGCCGCGGCGACACGTCCTATTGGAGGTCTTCCAGTGGCGCATGCTCGCTCTTATTACTCATGCACGGGGGCGGGCGGGGCCCCAGCGGGGAGCGGCGGGGGCCGGCGGGGCCGGCGGGGCGGTGGAGCCACATGGGACGGATTGCGTGCGGTTGCGAACGGCCCGTCCCCATCAGATGTGCGGGGAAGCTATTGACCAGAGCCGCCCTCCTGTAACCGGGTTATAGCCAGGCGACGTCATGTGCGGCCCGACCCGACCCGACCGTGGTGCGGGCCGAACGATTATTTCATTTCCTCGAAGTTGGTCGGGATCCTTTGCTCATCAGTCGTGTCGACCCCCCTCAGACGAGGCAGCGGCAGCAGCACCACGGCCGGCAGCAGCACCACGGCCGGAAGCAGCAGCACCAGCGCCGGGACTCGCCTTCCGCGAATGCCTGAATGGCGCTGCGGGTGGGCAAGAAGTGGATACTGATAAACGTGTTACTTAGAGCTCTGTGCCTTTGGGATCGTCCAGAAACGTTCGTCCGTTTTTCACAGACTCATCATTCGCCAAATTATGAGAGCTCGGCGCCTGCGGGACTCGGGGTAGGCCGACCTGCAGTACGCGCAAGTACTGCAGGAGTGATGTTGCCTACCTACCAGGCGTCAAGAGTCCTTGTAGGGGTCTGAACTCGGCAGGTTCGTACCGGCGAATGACGGGCGTACTTTCTGGATGATCCCTTTGTGGTTGCTGCTGGTTGGAGCGGCACCCAGCCCTTGAAATTGCCTGCAGCACGAGTTACCTGTCCCCGGCGCCCTTCATGACGTTGCCGCAGACGGTGAAGGGGATGTCCTGCACCTCCTCCGTCAGCTCGTCTCTGCTGGCCTCGGTGCCTTTCTCCGGCTTAACGGCGCGCTTCTTCTTGCGCCAGCGCTTCTGCACACACACGCACACGCTCAGAGACTCGGACCCTTCGCGCCCGCGCTCCGGGACTCGCAAAGTGACTCACCCACGCAAAACGGACAAACCAGCAGAAGACAGAGAAGAGGGCGCTGAGCCCGCTGTAGATGAGGGACTCTTTGAGGGTCATGGCGCGGCGGCGCGTCCCGGGTGCCCACTGCCGCCCGGGAGCGCCCCGCCGGCGACACTGTGCCTCCCCGCGAGAACGATCCCGGCCGGCATCGTGGAGGTCGATACCTGATCATATCAGCAGCCGGGCAGCTAATACGAGGAGGGCTGGGGCGAGGTCGGGAGGGATGGGGCAGGGCTGAGTGGCGGCGTCCCATGGCCAGGTAATGGCGCTGGAACCGGTACTTGTGTAATAAGGCACTACAGTGACTGACAGTGATCTCACTAACTATGTCTCATGTCTCGTGTAATTCGACTAGAAATCACATCACTCTTTGGAGGCCACGCCGGACGCCGACCCAAAAGCAGGGTTGTGGGGTCGTGATGATTTTGTTGTGTCTCGTATTATTAATCATACGTGGCGTTATAGAGCAGCGCCGTCGGCGTCGAGCTGTCGGGGTCAACAGCGCTTCTGTAAATTGGATATTACAAACAGAGGTAAATTATTAAAGGTTCGCTAGAGTTTATGTAGGAGACCTTAATTAATTTAAAATACCTTTCCCTTTCCATGGTTTGGAACTGGACGAGTACCACTAAATACGTCACCGTTGAGGCCACCACCTACAAAAAAGGCATTGTCGACTGGCATTGTAGTAAAATTCGATGGAAATTATTAGTTTTACAAATTATGTTGCTGAAGTGTTTGCTATTGGTCCAGTTCTTTACCGAAGACAACAACGGTCTGTCGCATTTCGCGAAGCCAGCTAACGACGCTTTCGCAGGGTTTGCCGCGATTGAGAGGTAGAACAGGTTAATCTGCAACACCAATAATTATTTTAACTGGACAGGTAGTGACAACAGGATGACGAGGTCGGCGCGTAGGGGTACAGCCCACTTTCAACAGACCGCTTTGCGCGTCTCCTCGTCCTCCACCTTGAGCGAGAAGCGATCCAGGGCCGTAGTAAACGTTTTGTTCATCTGAAAAGTGACGCACTGTTGGTTAGCACAAGCAGTTGAAAGGGGCGTTGTACTCACATTTCACCTACAGACGTACCGTGGCGGTACACTTGTGAGTCTCGTTGCAGAATACGAAGATTTGGAAGAACATGGCCAGGTTGATGACGCTCTGGGCGAGGGCTGCGGTCGTCTCACCCTGCCTGCCATAATGGAGCACCTGGTACAGAGAAAGCGTGACGACGAAGAACAGATAGCCGTGGATCAGGAAGATGAGGTTCTTGAGCGTCCTGTTTTCCTCCAGTATCTCGCGAAGGTCGACCCAAAGCCTGCGTGACCTCCGCACTGTGGTGCAGGGGTGCTCCTTGCTCTGCGGAAATTAACATCATCAACATAAAAAAACGTCGACGCGGAAACTGCGAGCACCTTTTACACTGGCGCAGTGAAATTCTGGCGCCCTTTGCCCACTTAAGTCTACAACACCTCACCTCTTGCAGGTACTTCAGAATGTCCTCGGCCGCAAAGCGGATTTGGGAGATCCAGCTGATGTACCACAGCGACAAGTTGGACTGGAAGTGCATGCTGCAAACGTAGGAAGGGACGTGGCACGGCCTCTCCGGCTCCACGATCTTCCCCGAGACGAACACGGCCACGAGAAGGGCGTACAGGACGGCGAGCACGGCCTGATTCCGGCGGAAGTGCCACGACCAGTCCAACCGTCTTCCTGTCAGTGCCTCGTGCGTGATCTGCGCAAATCTAATCCAATCAAAATCTCGTCCTTTCTCCCCATTTAGCTAACCTCACAGTATGTGACCTAGCGCCTTGCCTCGTAATTGCAGAAATCGACCACCCTGGCTGCAAGCCCGCGCATGCCCACCCACATTTTAGGGATGAACAAAATGGGGGTGATGGTCAGGACGGCGTTGACGCACTTGAGCCGAGTGTAAAGCAGCATGAGCACCCTGGCCTGCACCACGGAGGGCAAGTGCAGGAGGAGAACGCTCATAGTGGAGTACAGCACGAGGGCCATGACCACAGCGCAGTAGGGAGCCGTGGACCGCAGCAGGCGCCCGGTGCTGGGCAGATCTGCGAACCAACGCCGTTGAGGTGTTTCCGCCCTGGCACGGGCTACGTCGCTCCACCGCCTCCCAAATTAGGTTAAGATACAGACGTACTGAACAGGTGGCAGGGGAAATTCACCTGGGTGGATTCACTTACATGCGTGCTGAGGGTGCAAGGGGAGCACCCCTCCCACCGCCAGAGAGAGGAACACGGGCACGGTAGGGCTGGCGCGCAGCTTCGCCTCCAAGAGTGCTGCCCTACTGCCCATGTTTCGGCCGCCGCCGAGACCAGCGCCAAGGCTAGTGCCGACGCCAGTACCGAGGCCACCGTTAAGGCAACCGTTGAGACCGCCGTAGAGGCCATCCTTGAGGCCACCGTTGAGACCACCGTTGAGGCCGCCAATGAGGCCGCCGTTGAGACCGCCGTTGAGGCCACCGATGAGGCCGCCGTTGAGGCCGCCGTTGAGACCGCCGTTGAGGCCACCAATGAGGCGTTGAGGCCGCCGTTGAGGCCGCCGTTGAGGCCGCCGTTGAGGCCGCCGTTGAGGCCGCCGTTTAGGCCACCACCGAGAACTCCTCCAAGACCACCACCATGGTCACCACCGAGGGCACCTAGGAGGCCGCCACCGATGCCACCGGGGCCGCCTTCGTGCGCAAGCCGTCGCCCACCAACACCCATGACGACGATCGCACTGGTCGGCCAGTCCGCTGCGCAGGCGGAGGCCCCGACCCCGCCATTACCCTAATATGTTTGCACACCTCGCGGAAGAACAACACGAGGCTCGGGCGGCAACAAAGAGCGCGGCGGCAGGACAAGACCGACGAGACGCCCACCGCGGCCTCGGTGCCGCCGCCACCGCCGTCGCCATGACGCTCGGTTTGGCTAAACGGCTCTCCCGGCAAGGCTATATGGCCCTATGGCAGCTTCCTCCGCCGCGAAGTTCAAATTATTATTATTATTCGAGAATCATTTGGCGCGCGTCCAGCAGGCGTTGTACGCGCGCGTCATGCGCCTGCTCGTGCCAGACCCCGGTGCCAGCCCCCCGCAACCCGGCCCTCCGGCCACCCCGGGCCCACCCGCCCACACACATAACGACACACGCTCCATAAATTCGCCATCCTAATTCCTTCTGCTCACCGCGTGGTTAACCATCGGACGGAAGCACGCACTTAATTTTTTTACGAGGCGCGGACTGGTCCCTCTAAGTTTGTTGCGGTTCCCCCCCCCCCCTCCCTTTCCGATATTGCGCGCAACGCACATGGGCACGCGTGTGATTACTGCCGTCGAATGATGAACACTTATTGGCGCCGGCCCGATGAAGCAGTCCCGCCCCGGGGACAATGTGCACAACCAGCACAACCGTACAGGCGGGTACGGTATTGTGCAGAAATAATGCTTTTGGGTCGGCCTGTGGGTTTGATTGGACAACAGAAGTCCGACCACCAGTCGAAACTTTATCAACATAGTCAAATCAAGACTCTTTTCTTAAACGCGTGCCCGAATATCGCTATCACCGAGAGAAGTATGCACTTGAACGCTTCAAGTGCGTGTTTGGCGCTCCATCCAATCCCAGCCAGATACTAAAATTACATGATAATATAAAATGATAATAAAATAAATAACTTTGCTCGTAACAATTGTACAAGATATTCTGCGCATGATACGAGAACGTGCTTTTCTCTGTGTCCCTTTGGATCCAGTTTTCCTATTTGTAAGGAGGTAATAAACAAACGATGAGGGGCCCGGCTTCCGGCTGGACTGTGATCCCTCGATCAAAACGTTGTTTCGCCAAGGGGGGCGGCGTGGCTGCAGTGGTGAGTTTGTGGCAGAGGTCTGCAACGGTCGGTCCAAAGCCAAAAATCGTCCCGGCAAGCGCGCTCTGCGTCGTTCCGTACCGGACCGACCGCCACGAGCCTGGCCGGACCCGGAGTCTTGCCGGGACCCGGCAAGCGCCTCTGTCACAAAGAGAGGTGGGG